ACCTATTTAGTATATTTCTTTCTCTTTAAAATATTTGTTTTGCATTAATTTTGTAGTTGTTATAATGTATATAGAGTTATATTTTCAGCTTTGTTCATGTAAAATTATACTGTAACAGCTGTCTATAATGCTAAAGTCTTCAGCGTCATCATTTTAAAAGAAAATAATCCATAGAGTTGACAATGTAATAATTAAATCATAATCCATGGTTGAACTTTTTTCTCTTTTTAACCTCTATATGCCCAGCATATGTAGAGCTTTTGTGTCTAATTCTTTTTGATATTTAAAATGTTTCCCTCAGTATAAATTTCCGAAGTGACACCATGGTATATTCAAAACTCTGCAGCTAGACTACTGGTTGCAAATTTTGGCTTTATTATTATTAGCTGTGTGACATTGACCAAGTTATTTAACCTCTCTGTCTCAGTTTTCTCATCTGTAAAATGGAAAGGGTAATGATTAATAATTTAATGTACATAAATAATTAATCCAGTGTCTTGATATAATAAATGCCATAGAAATACATAAAATGTTGTTAAAAGCTTTAATGAATTTAAGGCCACACATTTCCAAAATGGTATTACCAATTACTGCCAATAGCAGTGCTGGTTTTAGTTTCCTATTAAAGAGAGCCAGCATGGATTTTATAGTTTATAAATGTCAATTAAATACCTGTAAAAAAGATATAATTATTTTTAATTTTTTTTGGTAAAAAAATGTAGGATCCATACGTATAGGGATTTACTTGCTTCTGACTAACCAACGCAGAGGAGAACATCTAAATATAGCTCTATAAATACCTGCTGAAAGAATGAATGAATGTTGGAAGTCCTGATTTTCTCTTGGGCTTGAACACAGAAGTACTTGATTTTGCAGATCAGCTAAGATGCGGTTAAAGATAAGAAAGGGACATATTTTGAGTTTACCAAAGTTATGCTAAGTAAAAGAATTTAGATACCATAGGTTATAGGCCCTTGTTCTGAAAACAATCTCCTTTTTTAAAAAAAAAATTTGTCTGTTTTCTATTGAAATCTAGTTTCTTTCTTTCTTTTTTTTTTAATTGCAATATAGTGAAATTATGGGGAAGGGGGAAAGCTTTTGCATTTTGTACTTCTCAAACAAATCCAATTGTTTTATACATGTTACTTTCTTGATAGTTGTTGAACTCTATTGATTATTATATATTTAATTCATTGTTTACCATCTATCTAGGCAAACCGGTTATGATTGTTACGGAATACATGGAGAATGGTTCCTTGGACAGTTTCTTACGTGTAAGTAGAAGATTTCATATGTATATATGGAATGAATTGCCAAAAATGTTACGGACAATTTCTAATATTGTGCCAAGCAATTACATACCATAATTTTAAAGGAAAACCGATATTTTCTGGGACTAAGTAGCAAAAAGAAGACTGTAAAAGCACATCTTACTCTTACAGCATTCAAGTGTCAATGTTTTATATTTTTAAAGCAAATATGATCACTCTCCTTCACCCTATATGTAGTATCAAAATTCATATCAGTTAAAATAAAAACAAACATACAAAAGAATCCTAAAGCAGGACATAAATAACATTGATGTAGGACAGATCATTTCTCTTACATAGTGCTGCCTGCTCAGAAAAT